GAGCAGGGAGCCCTATGCGGGACTCGATCCCGGGACTCCAGGATCATGACCTGAGCCGAAGGCAGTCGCTTAACCAACTGAGCCACCCAGGTGCCCCTGTCTACTGAAAATTTTAACATCTTTATAACTTTCTCCTTAATTGCACAAGAAATGTATATATCATTACTTTTTAGGGGAAGGAAACAAATATTTATCGTACCCACTATGCATCAGGCACTCAGGTACTGTGCTAGTTTCAATGCTTTGCAGAAACTCATATTTAAACATTATCTCCCTTTCTTTTTTTCCCTCTTGCTTGTTTGTTTTGTTTCTTAAATTCCACATATGAGTGAAATCATATGGTACTTGTCTTTTTCTGACTGACTTATTTTGCTTAGCATAATACTCTCTAGCTCCATCCATGTCATTGCACATGGCAAGAAAAAGAGAGAGAGAGAGAGGCAAACCAAGAAACAGACTCTTACCTATAGAGAACAAACTGATGATTACCAGAGGGGAAGTGGCTAGGGGCATGTGTAAAGTAGGTGAAGGGGATTAAGGAGTGCACCTGTCGTGATGAGCAATGGGTGTTGTATGGAAGTGTTGAACCACTATATTGTACACCTGAAACTAATATTACAGTGCATGTTAACTAACTGGAATTTAAATTAAAGCTTTAAAAAGTGAAATTTTAAATAAAATAAATAATACTTTGTAAAAATAAACATCATCCTACAATCAAATTTTTAACACATAAACAATCTATTCCTACCGCTATCACTGACTGTTTCACTTTGAGAATTCTCTTAACTTTTATAATTGAAACTAAAAATTAAAAGCTGTGAAGTAAGAATTTAATATTACTAATCTAGTTAGCTCCTCTCTTATGAGGAACCATAATGGAGCAAAGTTTCCACCTTGGAATTTTCCAGATACTAGGCTTACCTCTTTCAACACTATACATTTTTTTAAATTTAAACTCTTTTTAATGAAAATACTTTTAAGCAAACTATGTATCTGTATAGTCTTAATCAAAATGTCTGGAACATGAATCCATCTTTTTTGATAATCCAGATAAGGATAGTGGTAAAGACAGTAGGGTGGTTAAGAGCAGAGGTTCCAGAACTAGACTACGTAGTTATAAATCCTGGCACTACTGCTTACTAGCTGTGTGATCCTAGATAAGTTAACTTCCCTGGGTCTCTGTTTCCTTCTCTGTAAAATGAGGATAATCTTACTATCTACCTTTCAGGGCTATTCTCAGGATTAAATGATGATAGATGCAAAATACTTAGAACACAGATGCCAGGTACATAGTAAGTGCTTAATAAATGCTAGCTGAAAAGTTTTACTTTATTAAAGGTACTGAGCTCTTAGTTTCTCTCTACAATATGATATGGCCCCAGAATGCTGTTTTTGAGTTCCCATATAAATTTTATTTTTTTTCTGCATAAATTTTTAGTTGTTTTCCTGTTTCTCACCTCAATATTATTTGTTAATTGATGCCTCTAAAGTGCCTCTTCTTCTAAATTTGATGTTTCATCCTATTATGGGTTTGAGAAATCAAACCACTGTAATGGTTAGAAATGTGTAAAAAGAGGAATCTCCAGTGAAGGCCTCAGGGGCTTTCCCAAGAATATGGTATGGAAGTGTTAACACAGCACTCAGGAACATCCATTTCCACTTAGAGGTCCTTCTGGCTTACTTACTGTGTTCTCAGTGGTGTCTGGGAAAGTTGGAAATACCAAATAAGTGACCTATGGATCAATGAGGTACTATTGTTCTAATTCTGTCAGGCATTGGATTAATCAAAAACAAATGAAAGGTTGGTTTTGCACTGTTAATTTTCTAAAATTATTAATAAACTACCAGTGTAATTATTAAGCTTGCAATCCAAACAATGTTTTTAGTGTACACTTGAATCAATATACAGATCCTAAATTGCAAGGCCCAGTTTCTAAAAAAGCTCAAGCAAAATAAAATGTTTCTGTATGACGGAATCCATAGTTCTGAAGTGGAGGTTATTAATTCAATGAAAGGGAGAAAATCTGAATCGCCAAAAGGGCTAAATGAAATAAGAATTAACGGACGAGTGAACTAATATTACACTGTATGCTAACTAACTGGAATTTAAATAAAAACTTAAGAAAAAAAAGAATTAGTGGATAAGTTAAAAAGAGAAAGGAATTAGGGATTATGAACTCCTGGAAAATGCCAAAGTCATAGGGAAATTTGAAAGAAAAATAAATTGAAAGATTACAGACTAATAAAAAGAAATAAGGAAGAGTTTACCAACTCTACTCCCAATCCCTAAGTGAATAATATGCTTCCAATTTAATATTTAGTTTAGTAGCTTGTCTACCTTTTTCCCCCACCGAAAAGGCACAAGAGAGACTTTGGTAAGATAACCGTGTGCATCAGTGATGATCAAGCCGTCTGTTCCAGTGGCCAGATGCCAGAAGAGACACAGTGAGCCCCCACCCTTGGGATATCTGAGCCTGAGCCAGAAACTGGCAGCCACCAAGCCAAAAATTTTATATTCATGTATCTTAAAAATTCATGTACATTTTGCACCCCGCTCTATTACATACCAATGTGTTTGTAATATAAAAGTAATGTTTATATCAGTTGAATTATTTAACTCCTCCCATTCCCAAATCTTCAAGTAAAATTAATGCTCTAGGAAGATTTACATTGTGGTTCTTGTGGCTTCCCTTTCCCCTTGAACAACACCAATATGGTCAGAAAGGGATATGTGAGAAGCATGGGTTAAAACTGTATCTTATTATGATATGATGAGCTCAATGGCCTCAAATAATCCACAATAAATCAATAATCCAATAATCACTAAATGAAAGCTCTGATTCTCAGGCAACTCTGTGAAACTAAGAAATCTGAAAGATGGTGGACTGGGCCGTGCAATCTTAAGACGTCCTCTTAGCTTTTGAGCTGCAGTTCTTATAAAAAGATCAATAATGATGTCTTCCTGCTCCAGTATGGAATTAGTGTTTCCCTAAATACATTAGCTTCAGAAGTATTGAATTACCTAGAAGGATCAGCACCACAATGAAACAAATAGTTGTTTTTTTGCAAACTAGTGATTACCAATACAGAAAACCCACTGAAGTCAGCTTGGTTCAACATGACGAAAGGCAAAAACACTAAGACAAAAAGTAACAAAGCAGCATGATCAACCCAAAATCCAGGAAGATGACACTCACCCTCATCCTGATAATCAGGCAAAAAAGGGGCATCGGATGTGAGAGAAGGGCGGTGAGTTCCACTCTGATTATCATCAGAGCTGTCCTGTCCAAGGTAACTTTCAGCTTGGTCTCCCCCTGAGGGACAAAAAAGAAGGAAAATAAGATCATACTTTGGACATCTTTATAAAGCTCTTTGTAGATGTCTTCTGATACTCATCCCTGCCCTCCTCCGAAAGATATATCTTTTACTTGGTGGACATGGCCGCTATCCATAAACATATGAGAAATAGATAAATAAGAACAAACTTACCTGGATGGGAAATTTTCCACTCAGGTAACTAACTAGAACTTAGAAACCATTACCATAGAGTGGGGAGACCTCTTGCCACCCAGAGAGAAACTTCTCCATCACACTTAAAATGAAAACACAGCTATATAAACACATATTCATATATACTGTCTTCCATTAATTGTAACCTTTACCCTGAATGCCTGTTTCTCTTTATATTTCCAAATGGAACAGAATAAGTCACACAAAAGGTTAACCTATACATAATACAATGTAACAGGTCAGTATTCTTTCCTTCTCTGAAAACTAAGAGACTTAAAAACAGAGAGCATCTAGACTTTGCTGGATTCTATTCCAATTTAAATCATACTTGCTTTGCAACCTTAAGAAAGTTCTCTCTTTATAATTCTGGTTTACAGCCTATGCAACCAACCTCTTAGGAATTGTAAAAGCCCTAAGAAGGTAATATTTGTTCTGTAAAATGGCTTTGATGAAAGGTAATGTATATGCAATACTGAATTATGCAATTAAAACAATGCTAACCCCTTTTGGGTGTTTTCAACATACATTGGATTATATTTTGTAGAAGTGGCCCATACTATTATGATACTTTAAAAGATTCAGACGGAAGATGTTCGATCATTCAGAAACCGGAAGAAAAGGCTCTGCATTGCAAATGGCTTTCCTTAAAATCCCCCAAACAGAGGTACAGTCTGCTGATAAAAGGACACCAACAGCTGCTCAGTTCATTTCACAAACATGAAAAGGGGATTTTTAACTGAATTTAATATTATCTCAAATACTAATTCCAAAGGAAATCACCAATGCTAATCTCAGTAAACACTGTAGAGTTTTGGCCCTGGATTTCAACGAGGGAGCAGTGAAACCAAACAACCTACATAGAATCTGTATTGCCTCACTTTAAAGGTTTATTTCCTACAATTAAACTGGAAGGAGGGAGGATATAAAATGATAAAAAGGGAATGGCTGTAGCCTTCTCTTTCCATAAATTAGATGATCATAAGAGTCTCTTCTATGAATGCTCAGTGGTAGGTAGCTTGTCCATAACTGAGTTGAACACCTGCAGATACAGGACTTTAGAAATAAAGTATGGACTTGATTGTGGAAAAGAAACAACAACAACAAACAACAACCTCACACAGCAGTCTTGGCCAGAGCCAGAACAAATCCTCTCCTTTATTAGGCTACTGATCAGGATACAAAGCTTATTATAGTTATGCTTATAGTATCACTGTGAAATTTCCCTTATAACCAGAAAAATTCTCAAATACTGGACTGAGGGTTGAACTACTCAAATTTTACATCAGTGGAATTTGTAAATCCGCTGAAATTATATTACCAAAACAATCTAAATGGACTGTTTGGCAGATAACCTGAAACTGCGAGGTTAAGGGAATTTTAAAATTGTGAGCCTAACCAAAATCTGTTTTTAAAAGAGGAAGTAATTTGGGTTGCCAAGTAAAATTTAACATCTGTAGGTATTCTGAACGTTATTTATCAACTGTCATTCTAGACTCAAGGTTTTCTGCTTGCTTCAGAAATTTGACAAAATTACTCTTACATGTTCTAGCATTCCAGGCTTTAAAAAAAAAAAAAAGTCGATCAGGAGGGACTTTGTTTTGTTGTATTTTAACGAACATTTTGTTTTGGAATAATTTTAGATCTATTGAAATTATTACAAAGATAGTACAGAGAGTTCCCACACACCCTTTACCCAATTTCCCCCAACTTCTTATGTAACTAGGGTATTTCTGTCAAAACCAAGAAATTAACATTGGTACACTGCTATTAACTAGAAACTATAGACGTTATTTGGATTTCAACAGTTTTTCCACTAATGTTTTTTTCTTTTTCTTTTTTTTTAATTTAAATTCAATTAGTCAACATATATCATTAGTTTTAGATGTAGTGTTCAATGATTCATCAGTTGCATATAACACCCAGTGCTCATCACAACACGTGCCCTTTTTCTGTTCCAGGATCCCATTCAATTGCATTTAGAGTTTCCATTTTAAAAATCTCATCTAAAATACCTGCCTGGATTTAACATTCGATTTATCAACTTCAGATGGAAAAGTCACTTCTGCGTGTTTCCTAGGGTTTCTGAACAATTACCCAAGATGGGCTTTTAACAGCCATCCCTGTGCCAAATATAAGACCATGCCTTTGTAAAGTATACAACAACAAAGGTATACAACTCAATGCAGCAAAAACAGAGCCTGGGTTAGTACTAAAAAATGATTGTGGTGGGGGAAACATTTAAAAATATGTTCTACATCCAAGCGTAATTAGTTCCTGATGATGGAAATGTTGCTATAAGTGTTTTTAGTGTCACATCGAGTGGCCCAACTCCCTTGGGCACACACAGAAAAAAGCCTATAACACTATATAAATAGACACTCCCGTGTAATTAAAATGATTACAACTACTCGAGATGTACGGGTGAAAAGTTTTATAGGAGAGCCAGCAATTACCGTGGTCATTTTGGATTTAAGTTTAGAACATCATTTTCCGTTAAAACATAACTGCAAGTGATCGCTGGATTCATCTGCAGCTCTGAGAATCGCAGTTCCAAGCGGCCACCACTACCGTAGTCCAGTGGGATCAGACATAAATGATCACAAACTATAGTGACAGACACTTCCATTCAGCAGCTCTACAATTAGGGCTTAGAACTCCATTGCTTAGAGTGGCTTTCTCACAAGCAAGACCTCTTGCCACTAGAGACACTCTTTCCCATTGTAACTTGCTCAGAATCAATATATTTCTATACAGATATATATTCTAACACACAATATCTCCATTAATCACATCCACTACCTCTGGTCTCTTTTTTTTTGTATTTCTAAACAAGATCTGGGAAAACTATATCAAGGGTTCATCTGCTATTAGCTGGTAATTTGCTCCTCTATCCTAAGTGTCATAAGAATTGGGCGCTAGATACACTCCTTAGTATATTCAGTGGCAGGTTCTCCACTGAGTATCGTACTGAGGGGCCTATAAGGGGGGTGATTTCTCTATTGTTCCTTCCTGAGAATCAAACTCAATTTCATTCATGCTCCATAGAATGATAAGTTGGGAATTTCTGAGGTTTGGAGCAGAAATATAAAGCAGCTTTGTGTCAGGTGTGAGGTAATTATTTGTGAGGGTTTCTGTGCTATTTGTTTTTATTCCCAGTGTTTTCATTAACAGTTAATGAGTTTTCCCCCTTAATTCTGAAACAATAGCTTGGCCACTAGAAGTTGGTATTTTTCTGCCATGGATTCAACCAGCTGTTGCTGCTCCATAAACTTTATGGAGAAGTGAATTAAACTGCTAAAAACTTTCATTTCCTAATTCAATTCCAAATAAAATGGGGTGGTGGAAAATGAACCATGATGATATTCCTGTTGTAGCTATTTTGACTCACAGCAAACCCATCTGATTCTGAACTTACAGGTACCATTTAGAGACAAAAACAGGCCATAATGACAACTTTACCAAAGAAATGAAAAAAAAAAAAGGTGGAAAGCAGTTTAAGCATAAAAAGTAACAGGACAATAACAAATAGGTAAAACTAAATACATGTTTGCTTATTCAACATATAAATGCTCAACGGTTTTTCCATGTTAGTATGAAGCCATCATCTTTTACTTCTAATTAATTGTGAGCTGTGTTATAAAGACTTTATTCACATCTGCAACCAACTGTTTCTATGGCATGGTTCAAAATTCCCAGGGTTTGCTATCACTTCACCAAGTATCTTGGGATAAAATAAGGAAATTGAAATCAATGTAGAATTATCTGCAATTTTTTGGCTTTTGCTTTTATTGTTGCCATTGGAAGGGAACACACGACTTCTGCCTCTATTTAATATTTAAGAACCCATGAGACACACAGCTCCCTCTTTAAACTAATAAATTCTAAATAAAATGCTATAAATAAAGGTCCCTGATCCAAATCCAGTTAGTTTTCATGCTTGATAGCATTAATATTGCCAGGTTTTCATGGGCCAATTTAATAGTAATACAGTTCCCAAAGCTGAACTAAGGCAAGATTGGAAAAACTGCAGCTTGTTATTCCTTATTATAACCATTCACCTAAATTATTGAATATAACACCAACTACAGAAATAGGTTGGATACATATGTGCCCATATATGTGAAATGTTCCTCCCATGTAAATGTTATGGAGCCCATTTGCAACACCAAAGCTAAAGTTCTGTCAACACTTCTGTTATAAATTAGATAACATTTTGCACATACTCATGCATTAGAAAATGTATGGTGTTTCCCACAGAACATCTTAGAGGCTTCACTGATTTCTAAATATCCACTTGGATTTGCGTGGTTAGTTCTTGTGATTAATCCATGTGTAGTGAAGGTCTCAAATTCTTCTCCACTCTATAGTCTGACTTCCTGCCCATCTCTTTTTTCTCCCTCCTACATCTAGCCATAACTCAATGTATAAATATTCTTTTCTTCCCCCCCAAGGCCCTGGCAGTGAGTATAATGTACTGAATGTCATTAAGTCTACAGAACAAATGATAGGTCAGGTAAAGAAAGTTCCCATTTATCATTCTTTCAAAAAGTTGCTCCAACAAGATCTCGAATGTACAAGAAATAAATTGAGCCCAAGGTTAAGTTTTTTTAGCTCATGATACTGTTTACTAATTGTATTATTTTCAACATGCCGAGAATAACAGACTTCTCAAGAACCGTTTGGGTTATCATTGCAGAGAATAGCACAGTCTAAGTGATCAGAAATGGAATAAAATTGATTTGATGCTACAACCAAAAGGGTAGCATAGCTTAATTTCCAAAGGAACCTCGTCTGTCAGGAGTGA